GATCAGGGCAAGGAGGATGTGCGACCCCGCCTCAACTCGGGAAACTGAGTTCCGCGGAAGGTGAGGCGACTCAACCTTCTACTCCACCAGATTCGGCTGCCTTGCTAGCGGCCTCCTACACATCTGGGGAGGATGCGAATGTCGCAGGTTCTCGTTACACTTACGAGGACTATGCTGTCCACTTGGTTCCACCGCTGGACCAACCGCTCCACGTGCAACAATCTACTGCATGGACGGTTTCATCACCATCGACAACCGATTCGGCAGCTTCGCCGCCATCTATCGCCGATGATTCATCGTCATGGTCAAGACTTCAGGTGCTCGACCCACTGGCATTCACGGACTTCCAGTGGATGCCCGTTCCCCCGACCGGACAATTGTCGAAACCGCATTGCAATGTGCTCATGGCACAACTGCGGGATTACTTGCACACTGCAGGACCAGCTCCGTTGATGGACGCCGGAGTAGAGGTTGTCGACCTTCACGTTTACATCGCGAAGATCGACCGCGAGTTCAAGACGCAACGGTACGACGGCATCGACCCACCATTGCTATATGTACGCATTCAGATCGAAGAGCCTTGATCGATTGCGGAGCATCTCACAACTACATCAGCCAGGACTTCATGGTGCGCGCCGGCCTTGGCCCACGCGTCCGGAGGAAGTCCCAGCCTACGCAAGTCACATTGGCGGACGGTCACACGCACAAGTCAATCGACCGGTGCATTGACAACGTCCCAATGTACTTTGCCCCTCACGCAAGTGAGGCGGTGTCCTTTGACATTCTGGACACCAAATTTGACATGATCTTGGGCATGTCATGGCTGCGAAGCGAGGATCACCCGGTGAACTTCTTCCACCGCACCGTTCACATTCGTGATCGGAACGGAGTACTAGTTCCATGCACGATGCCTCTTCCTCATCCTTCGATCAGCTGCCACGTGGTATCCGCCGCAAGCATGCGAGCTTCCATCATCAGAGACGACATCGAGGAGATGAGGGTGTGTTTTCTCCACGCCCTCCCGCCCCATGACGCTTCATCGACGGACTCATCTTCGGATCCACGCATCACCGAGCTTCCCGACGCCTACAGCGACATGTTCGAAGGCCCGCACGGAGTAGTACCGGATCGGCCCATCCGCCACGAGATCATCCTCGAGGACGGGGCCGTACCTCCGCGCGGTTGCATCTACCGAATGAGCAAGGAAGAGTTAAGTGTGCTCCGCGCACAACTCGACGACCTTCTAGAGAAAGGCTGGATTCGGCCTAGCTCATCGCCATACGGTGCTCCTGTTCTCTTCGTCCGAAAGAAGAACAAGGACCTGCGGTTGTGCATCGATTATCGCAAGCTCAACGCACATACAATCAGGAACGACGGCCCTCTCCCACGCGTCGACGACCTTCTCGAGCGATTGGGCGGCGCCCAGTTCTTCTCTAAGCTGGATCTCAAGTCAGGGTACCACCAACTCGAGATTCGTTAGGAGGATTGCTACAAGACCGCGTTCAAGACACGGTATGGGCATTTCGAATGGCTGGTCATGCCATTTGGCCTTACGAATGCCCCAGCCACTTTCCAAGCGGCTATGACAACGGAGTTCCGACACATGCTGGATCGGTTTGTACTCATCTACCTCGACGACATCTTGGTGTATTGTCGGAGTTTGGACGAGCATGTGGAACACCTGCGCACCGTTTTGGAGCGGCTACGACAAGCCAAGTACAAAGCAAACCGCGACAAGTGCGAGTTCGCACAACAGGAGCTGGAGTACTTGGGACA